GAAGTGAAGGGTGCAAGAGACAGATTACTCTGATAGACATATGAATGGGGGGGTCAGAGGAAGGAGGCAGCAAGTCAAGCTTGACAGTGAATGAAAACCAATAGGTAGATTAGAGCAGTGTTTCTTAATCCTGGCTGTACAAGTAAAGCAAGAACTCACCACAATAATCCTATATAATAAAAGCATAATATGCAAATTGACCGAATGGCAGAACAACCAGTCAGTGGGGGACGGGGGCCAGTGAGCAGGTAGCACAAGGCTAGCCAAGGCACGGTGGCAGGAGCCTCTCCAGCCTCTGCAGCAGCAGTAAGGAGTGGGGAGCAGTAAGGAGCAGTGAACAGGTGGGTGATAAGGAGTGAGGGTTCCCAGATTGTGAGATGGATGTCCAACTGCTGGACATGCCCCAAGGGTTGGGCAATGGGGGCCAGCACCATCCCCTGATTGCCTGCCCAGCTCCCATGGGTGGCAGTGGCTCTCTTCCACCTCCCACAGAAGTGGCACAGCTCCCTCCCACCTCCCGCAGAAGCAGCTTGGCTCCCTCCCATCTCCTGCCTCCCTCCCATGGAAGCAGTACAGCTCCCACTGGCTCCCATGGGTGTGCTGCAGCTCCTGCCAGCTTCAGTGGAAGCAGCACAGCTCCCACCAGCTCCTGTGATGGACAGTGGGTGGACTACTGCATGCAATTTTGCACACTGAGCCACTAGTCCTATCTAATAATAGACAAACATGGTAATTGACCACACCTTCGCTACGCCTCCCATCGGCTAATCAGCATGGTATGCAAATTAACCACCAACAAAGATGGCGGCTAATTTGCGTACTGCAGGCATGGTGGGACAGTGCCATCCCTCCTGCCCCGCTGCCATTTGGGCCTGCTATTTGCAACCCAGGGCAGTGGGGCAGGATAGCGCCATCCCACCTGCCCTGCCGCCATCTGGGCCTGCTATCTGCGACCTGGGGCTACAGGCGTCCGTGTGCGACCTGACCTGGGGCCTCCAGGCAGGGCAGCAGCAATCGGCCGGCCTGCCCAGGCATCCCATGTGCAACCCAAACCGGGGCAGCACCCCAACCCCCGGATCGGCCCTGCCGTGTGCACGACCTGAGGTGGCACCCCAACCCTCGGATCGGCCCTGCTGTGTGCACAACCCAGGGAGGCGGGGCAGGCACTGAGGGATTGGGCCTAAGCAAGCAAGTGGTTATCTCCCAAGGGGTCCCAGACTGTGAGAGGGCACAAGTGGGGCTGAGGAACACCCCCCTCCCTCGCCAGTGCACAAATTTTTGTGCACCGGGCCTCTAGTTTTATATAAGGGACTTAAGCCATGGATTTTGGTGTTGCAGGAGTTCCTGGAACCAGTCTCCCATAGATACCAAGGGACTATAGTTAAGTTTTGGGATAGTCAAAAATTATATGTGGATTTTCTACTGTGGGTGGCTAGGGTCTATTTCTTTTAACACCCCTGTTGTTGGAGGGTGAACTGTACTTTCTCTATATACAGACTTTTGGTTGTGGTATTGCTTCACTATTACCTGAATCCTCTTTTACAGGTTCACTTTTTCTCTTCACAACATATTTTGCTACTATTTCTGTAAGTCTGTAGGATTTATCATTCCTTTTTGTTTACTGGATGGGTATATTAATGTACAATAGATAATCAATAATCATTCAGGTTGATTTCAGATAACCTGAATGTACAATAGATAATCATTCAGGTTGATTTCAACTTTGCTGCAGTGTACACCTTCATACACATACTGTTAGGCATTTAAAATTTTAATAACTTTTTTATTGAGGTGCATTCACATAGCATAAATTAACCATGTTAAAGTGAACAATTCAGTGTCATTTAGTACATTCACAGTGTTGCGCAACTACCTCTCCTATCTAGTTTCAATTTGCACAGGGGCTTATTGCCCTCATTTTACTGATGATGAAACTTAGGTCCAGAGAAATTGTGACTTTCCTGAGGATACACAAAAAAGTATGAGCATGGATTCAGATCCTGACGTTCTGACTTCAGAGGCCATGCTTTCCCCTGCTCCATTCTGCCTTTGAGCAGCCCTTTATCAGGAAGAGGGCTGTGATTATTTATGCACCCAGTTACAGAGGCCATCTCCCCCTTTATCTGGCAACTATCTCCTCTTTTGGGAACAATGTCCATGTGATTGGTTCCCAGAAGCTGAGGTTGTGACCTGGTGCACAGAGAGAATGGAGAAAGCTGTAGAAACAGTGAATCTGACTTAGATTCGTGTGTGTGTGTGTGTGTGTGTGTGTGTGTTCTCTGGTATAAATTCTCTGATTACCTGAATGAATTGCAGACGGTGTTATGAAACACTCATTGTCCATCACCTATGGACACTCATAAACACTGCTGGCGTCTGCCAGATACGATAAATATCTAGGCCAAAGTCTTGTACCTGGGTAACATTTGTGCTCAGAGCAAGCATTTTCATAGCCAGGCCTTTATTCACTGACTTCTTTCTCTCTCTCTCCAGGGAGGTATAAGACCAAGCATTAGATTACATTTTTAGCTCTCCAAATATCCCTTTGTATAAACCTCAGATGGGTCAGCGACAGGTGTGGACATTTGGTCAATTATTTCAGGATGTGCTTTATGAAAGAAATGACATTTCAGGAAGGAATTATACCTCACTATGATTTTTGTTTCAGAGACCCAAAGCCTTTTCCCACCCTGTCTGCCACACACCCTCTAGTGAAAGCAGTGGTAAGTGACACTAGCAGAGGAGACTAGCCTGGTTCTGCTTCTAGGACCTACCATGGGGCAGCCTCTGCCTTTTCATCTCTACCTGTCCCCAGCTTGAATGCTTTGTAGACTTCTGAGGTGCCCACACACTTGAGACTGGGGGGAGAGGATATAATCCAAAGGCACATTTCCTCCTGAAAGAAGAAAGCCCACCCTCTCCTGTACCAGGTATCATATTTGCTTAATCACACCCATTTTTTTGCTCAACTCATGAAGATGAGGGCACAAAGATAGACATCTGCTGTAAACATAAGAGCAGCCTCCTTTACCAGCTCCCTCCTTGCCTTCTTCCTAGGGCAGAGCTTGCCCCTGTGGCATCTGGAACTTGCCTGGTCATGTGGGATGATCCTTCATAAGGTTGCCAGGTAGATGGCCATCCAGGCAAAGCCAGGACCAGTAGGAAGCCACCGGTCCACTGCAGACTTCCATGGTTATCTTGATCACCCTGTCGTCAGAGATGTTGAAGACAACTGGGGTGCCCAGTGCCCAGTCTTCAGGAGTGACAGGGAGGGCATCATGAAGTAGGTTAGATTAATCCTTTCAGAGTCTCTTCTAATTCTAAATCCTGAGGAGTTCCATTGATGACACTCACTCCCTTCTCTGTTGCATACATGAACCTTCTCCCTGCCCTTTGTGGGGTTACCAGAAGCAGGCAGGAATGGAAAGGAACCCTCCTTTCCTCTTTGGGAACAGCTTCCCTGTTTCCTTGGTTTACCTCAGGTCACCTGTTTCAAAAGCCTCATGACTACTCTACACATCCTGTATCATCACTAACTTTCTGGGCTGTTTTGTCCCCTTCACTGAGTCAAGAACTCTTTGAGTAAAGCAAGAGACTGAGGCTTTATTCATCTTGCTTTTGCAGGGGGAAGGCCACAAAGGTTTATGAATAAGCAAGCAAAGTAACTTACAGTTCCAGAGAAAGATGGTCTATAGGGGACAATAACACCCTCAACAGTGTCTTTCAAGGTATGTCCAGTGGAGAGAACCACATGTGTCCCACCCCATTCCCTAAAGTCTCTCTGGCTCTGAGTTGGGGTGGGCTGCTGGACTGTTGTGCTGGTAGAGTGTTGGGGCTCCCACAGGTTAGTGCAGGGGAGGCCCAGGACTGCAGAGCTACCAAATCCCACAGGCTCTATCTGCACACCCATTCCTGAAGCCTTTGGCATGGATGGAGCTCACCATGACTGGAGCATGACTTTGCCAGGTCTTGGCCAACAGTAGAAGTTATGATTTGGGGGCCTGGGCCCAAAGAAAGAGAGGCCTGAGAGCATCAAGAACCAGAGAGGAGCATGCCCACCTCTGCCCTGGGTCAGCCTGCACAGGCTGTGAGCCCCTGTCTGGGCAGGATTGCCATGTTTGAGAGGGAGCAACACAGGCAGCACTGGCTTCCCTGGGCCCCAGCTGGGTCAGGGAGACAATGAGGATCCCTTGAACTTTAAGCCTCTAAGCCTGCCTTTCCAATTTCCCACCAAGGCTCTTCCACCTCCAGTGGTCCCATCTACTGTTTCCTTGACTCCTCCTTGTGCTCACATATCTGTCTGGCCCTGATGATTTTCTCTTCTTTGTGTCCTATGTGCTACTGCCCACCAGAGGCCCTGCTCCAGACCCTCTGCTTCTAGGAAGCCTGGTTCCCCCATCCCAGCTCTCCTGAGCCCCTTTTTGCTCCTCCTCCCTCCTTCCTGATCCCCAAGGTCTTCTCCCATTTCACTGAGTGTGAAAGTATCTTTCTGGCAGTCTGGGATTTTCCAGGGACTGTGATCAGGGCTCCTTTTCATCCCTAGCCAATCCTGGCAGAGTCTCATTAGAAGTGGGCAATTCTGCTCTCCCAAACTTCTCCCTTCGCTCCTTTGTCTCCTCTGAATTGAGCACTTGGATACGGGGCAGGGTTAAGAGAGACATGGACCTCCACAGACCAAGGAGGAAGAATGTACTCCTTTATTCCCTGTTTGAGAGACTGCAATGGGAGCAGCCAGCACTAATGGGGTTGTGGGGCTGGCTTGGTCTTGGAGACTCAGCCTTGCAGTGACAAAGACACTGCTGGCCCCACAGATAGGGCAGGTCCAGGTGGGGGCTGTTGCCCCTTCTTCAGAGCTTCTCCAGATAGGAACCAGGTACAAAGCCACGCTGCCCATTCTGTTCCACTGTCCACCAGCCATCCTCCCCTTCTAGGATGACCTCCAGGATGTCCCCAGCAGAGATGTCCAGCTCATCAGAATTCTTGGCAACAGAATGAAAATACATCAAGCTGGAGGGGCCTGTTTTTGAGGGTCTGGTCTGGCAAACCCCCTCCCCAAGCCATAAATTTGAGCTTGTTCCTATGTGGGCTGAGTTAGTTGAGACATGCCCATCCTCCTGGGGCTACAGAATAAGACCTCTCTCTTGGCTGGAGCAGCCCTCGGAGACATGGGGTGTGGGACATGGGACTCAGCCGCCTGTACGCCCCAGCCTCCTGGTTTGTCATTGCAGGCCTCCCACAAACCCAGCTTCTTCCCTGTTGTCCCTTCTCTCACTCTGCTTTAGGCACACAGTGACCTTAGTAAGTCAGGGGCCAGGTGTACTGGTCATGACCATGCCCAAGTGGTACCTTACACAGCCTCCCCTCTGCTGGTGAGCTCCCTTGAGTTTCCTCAGTTCTGCTTGCCCCTATCACAAACACACAATCCTTCTTCTGGCCTGTCTCCCCTGCCAGGGACAGGGTTTTGGGAATCAGTCCAGACTGATTTGGCAATCTACTATGCATCCCACGCAGCCTGAGTGGGTGCTTGGCCTCACTCCAGACTGATAGGGGGTCTGTCTCTATATCCTTCATCCCAAAGCAGGGAACAGTTCAGACTCTATGGGGAACTCGGCACAGCTGCCCTGTGACTCCTTGACTCATCATCTCCACATGGACCACACAAAACCAAACCCAGCACAGTTGTGGGACTTATTCTGGCCAAGTTTTTGGCACCCAATGCCATGGAGAACAGAGCCCTAACCTGAGGGTGCAGAGCTTAAATCTTGGACCATTTTCTGCAGGTAGCTCAAGTTCTGTCAATCTGACTGTACATGTGTACATGGATGCACACAAGGGCACATACAATGTCAGTATCTGGGCACCACATGTATGTGTGTGAACAGATTCAGGGAGACACGGGCCCTGGTACCCTATTCATCAACATTCACTCAACAGATACTTACAGAGCCCCTCCTAAGTGCTGGGTGCTACTTTAAGGACAAACACACAGAGCATACTTACAGTTCATGTACCTACGTATGAACTCACCCTTGGGCATCCCTGTGCCCTGCTGAGAAGGAGAGGAGGGCAAGGGCCTCACCTGGGCTTTGTAGTCATAGACCACCCTGTAGTCCCGGGCTGGCAGGGTCGGGGGTCCTGGTGCCTCCTGCACTGCGACAGCAGCGTAGACACCCTCATTCTGATTGGGGGTGGGAGTCAGGGTGTCTGTGGAGGCTGAGAGCAGAGTGAGGCCTGGAGCCCACCCCTTTCATAGGACATTGGTCCCTGGAGGCCCCCCTGCATGGAGCATCCCCAGAGTGTCTTAGCCTTTTTCTCCCCATAGTAGTTGGAGGGCCTGTCTGGGCATGTAAAAGTCCTCTCTTTCACCCCCGGATCACAGTTGTTTGGAGGTCCCCACATCACACCCAGCCAGTTACCTGCAGAGGCTGCCGACTGTGCAGTCTTGGGACTTCCATGCAGCAGCCCAGAGAATCTAAGGACAGGGAAGAAAGCAGGTAGGTCCTTCAGGGAGGGAATAAGGCAGGGAGCCCTCAGAGCTCTAGTGGTGGGGCTACTTCCAGCCTCAAGATTCTGATGTGATATATGGGGTGCTCCTCAGGCATGAGGGTTCCCCAAAGGGTGGTTCCAGTGGCCTTTTCCCAGCAGCACCCTCTCAGAACCTCACACTGTAACCTCCTCTCAGCACCTAGCCCAAGCAGGTCCTTGCTCCAGCCTCCTCTGATGGGCAATAAGCCATCCCTCAGAGGCTGGCACACTCACACCCACTATGATTATCATCTGCTTGGGTCTACAGCCTGCCCCCCTGAGTCCGCATCCTGATCCAGCCCACCCAGCTACTCGCCAAGCAAAGTCGTACTCACTATATATGTGAGTTCTAGTACAAGGGGGAGGGAGGAACCTTTTCTTTTTTTAATTGATTTCAGAGAGGAAGGAAGTGGCCTCTGGGCTTCCAGGACTGAAACATCAGAGAGAGATAGAAACATCAATGAAGAGAGAGATTAATTGATTTGCTGCCTCCTGAACGCCCCACTTGGGGAGCAAGCCCGCAACCTGGGCATGTGCCCTGACCGGGAATGGAGCTGTGACCTCCTGGTTCATAGATTACGCGCAACCACTGAGCTACGCTGGTTGGGCCTTTTTTCTGCCAAGGACCATTTGGATATTTATAGTATCACTCAAGGGCCATACAAAATTGTCAACATAAAAACTAGCCTTCTATATTTGGTCAAACATTTAATTAACTCACCCCTAATGCCTTGACAGGGCCACACCAAATGATTTGGAGGGCCTTATATGACCCACAGGCCAGACATTCTCCATCTGCAGTAGACAGTGTTGGGCTAATTCACCCCTCTCCTGTGCCTGGCTCAGCCCTGGACTGAGCTGGAGTTATGAAGGTTCAAAAAAGAAATGGAACAAGCAAGAGGCAGATACTGGGGTTACCCCATGAAGCTAACAGCACTAAAGGAGGCTGATGCTGTGTACCTGCCTCAGGAAAGGCTGCCTGGTGGAGTCAAATTCTGAAAGACTTAGCTTTAACAGGCAGAGACTGGGGTGCAAGGCATTGCCAGTGAACAGGAGAGGGGATGCAAAAGTGCAGAGCAGGGACTTGACAGGGAGGAGTTTGGGGAGTGGAGGCTGGAGAATCCAGTGCAGTGCTGTTCCCCCCCTCCTGCCCCCAAATTCCTCCCCTCCCACCCCTACCCCCTGGCCCCACACACAAACACACAGGATTTGTGGAGTAATGGCTTGTGAGTAGACAGGCAGGCCTACCTGGCACACATTATAAGGCCTTTTGCTAACACAGGCTGTGCAGGCATAGCAACTATGGCACACTACTGGTGGGAGTGAGGACACTGAGGGAGGGGAGAGAGGTTAAATCCAGCAAGGTAGTGGCTGGAAGGAGCAGAGCTCATTGAGGCTGGTGTGTGCCCTGCCTCACTGCCCTGCTTTCCCAGAGTTGTCTACACTTGCAACTCCAATTCCTCCTTTCACTCACTTCCCAGCCACTGTTCCCTGCTCCTCCCCACCCTGCCTTATTTTTGACTCTCCAGACAGCAGCCCCTCCCACCTCCTACCTCTCCTCCACCCAGTGGGACCCCCCTTTCTCTCTTTTATCTTAACGGAGCACTTCTTTTTGTCCTTTCTTTTTCAATTTTTCAATTACAGTTGACATACAGGTGTACAAATAGTGATTAGACATTTATATACCTTATGAAGTGATCACCCTGATAAGCCTAATACCAATCTGGCACCATACATACATATTACAATACTATTGCCTGTAGTCCCTATGCTATACTTTACATCTCTGATGAATATTTTTATAACTGACAATGTGTGCTTATTCCCTTCACCTTTTTCACTCACTCTCCCAACTCTCCTCCCATCAGACAATCATCAATTTGTTCTCTGTATGTATGAGTTTGTTTCTGCTTTGTTTGTTCCTTTATTTTGTTCTTTAGAGTCCACATATAAGTGAAACTGTATGGTATTTGTCTTTCTCTGACTGACTTATTTCATTTAACATATGCCCTCTAAGTCCATCCATGTTGTCGCACATAGCTGCTGGAAGCTAATTCCAGCATGTCATAAATGCAAGAAGTTTCATCAAAAGGTTGATGGAACCTTGAGAATTGCCTGCTGGAAATAGCTAAGAGCATTTCCCCACACCTAAAGATTTGCATAGATGGTTGCTTGCTGCCAGACAGCTGAGAGTATTTTAATTTACGTGTTATTGCCTCATACTGGCCAAACACATGAACAGCCATAGGCAGTTGCCCCAATCTGACAATGTATTCTGTATACTAAACCTTGCCTTTGATATGTATATCTACCTTGCTTTAGGACAATTTGTGTTAATAAAAAGCAAGGGGTCCTGAGACAAGGAGGACTTGGTTTCTCTAGCTAAGTCTCCTCTGGCTCCCCAAAATGCCTTCCAAAATTATGTTTCGCCTCTAGACTCTTTAAATTTAAATATATAAAATAAATATCAAAAATATAAGTCTTTGTTTTACTATGGTTGCAAATATCAAAAATTTTCTATACGTGACACGGCACCAGAGTTAAGTTAGGCGTTTTTCAAAATGCTGACACGCGGAGCTCAAAAGGTTTGCCATCACTGCTCTAGACTCATAATAATTTACTGAAGCCCCTTCTCCATGAACCCTTCCTGAACCCTTCTAGATGCTGGACAAGACCCCAGGCACATAGCAAGATTTCATTATTTTTTATGGCCAAGTAATATTCCATTGTATCTATATAATGCATCTTCTTTAGCCAGTCATCTATTGGTGGGCGCCTAGGTTGCTTCCATATCTTGGCTGTTGTAAATAATGCTTCAATGAACATAAGGGTGCAGATAACTTTTGAATTAGTGTTTTGGATTTCTTCAGATAAATAACCCAGAAGTGGAATTCCTGGCCCATATGGGTTCTATTTTTAGTTTTTTGAGGACACTCCATACTATTTTCTACAGTGGCTGCACTGACCTGCATTCCCACCAACAGTGCATGAGGGTTCCCTTTTCTTCACATCCTTACCAAAACTTGTTGATTATTAATGATAACCATTCTGACACGTGTGAGGTGGTATTTCATGTGGTTTCAATGTGCATTTCCCTGATGATTAGTGACATTGAGCATCTTTTCATATGAATATTGGCCATCTGTAGGTCCTCTTTGGAGAAATGTCCACTGCCCATTTTTAAATCAGATTGTTTGTGTTTTTGTTGTTGAACTCTGAGTTTTTTATATACTTTAGATATTAACCCCTTGTCAATAGGTTGTGTTTCCCTTTTGTTGATGGTGTCCTTCATAGTACAAAACCTTTTAAGTTTGACATAGTTACATTTGTCTATTTTTGCTTTTGTTTCCCTTGCTCGAAGAAACATATTTAAAAAAATATTGCTAAGACCAATGTCAAAGAGTTTATTGCTTAAGTTTTCTTTTGGGAGTTTTATGGTTCCAGATCTTACATTTAAGTCTTTAATCTATTTTGAATTTATTCTTGTATATGGTATAAGAAAGTGATTTAATTTCATTTTTTGCATGTATCTGTCCAATTTTTCCCAACACCATTTATTGAATAAACTGTCTTTAACCCTTTATCTTTAATCTTGCCTCCTTTGTCATAGATTAATTAACCATACAGGCATGAGTTTATTTCTAGGCTCTCTATTCTGTTTCATTGACTTATGTGTCTGTTTTTATGCCACTACCTTGCTGTTTTGTTTACTATAGCCTTACAGTATAGAGTGCTATCAGGTAATATGATACCTCCAACTTTGCTTTTCTTTCTTAAGATTGCTGTGGCTATTTGGGCTCTATATGGTTCCATATAAGTTTCTGGATTATTTGTTCTAGTTCTGTAAAAAATATGCCCTTGGTCTTTTGATAGGGATTGCATTGAATCTATAGATTGTTTTGAGTAGTATTGGCATTTTAATGATATTAATTCTTCATGAGCATGGTATATGCTTCCATTTATTTGTGTCTTCTTCAATGTCTTATAGTTTTCTTAATATAGATTTTTTACCTTCTTGCTTAAATTTATTCCTAGGTATTTTATTCTTTTTTATGCAATTATGTATGGATTTGTTTTCTTAATTTCTCTTTTATTATTGGTATACACAAAGGCAACCAACTTCTGAATATTAATTTTGTATCCTGCTATTTAACTGAATTCATTTATTAGATCTAATAGATTTTTGAGTGGAATCTTTGGGTTTCTCTCTATATAGTATCATGTCATCTGCAAATAATGATAGTTTTACTTCTTAATTTCCAATTTGGAATGTCTGTTATTGATATTTCTTGTCTGATTGCTGTGGCTAAGACTTCCAACACTATATTCAGTAATAGTCTGAGTGGGTATCTTTGTCATGTTTCATTTCTGTCCTTTGTTGACACTGTCCCAGGTAAGCTTTTTCATCCATTTTTTTTTAAATGACCACCTATGATGGGATACAGGTCCTCATTGGGGATGCAAGGAGACCTAAATACCCCAAGATTTTGGATAACATTGTGAGGTTGTGAATGTCCTTTTTCTGGGGCCACTGCCTTTTCGAAGTTCTCAGAGGAGTGTGCTGTGCTCCCTGCTCTGAGCTGAGGTGGTTCTCATGAGCCTCTGCTTCCTGGAGGCTTCCTGCATGGGGCTCCTGAGGTCTTGGAAATGAGCAGCCCTCAGAGGGCTGGGAGTTCCATCAACAACCCCCCCCCCCCCACCCCCCCCCCCCCCCC